GTTACTGAGGGACACAGAATCGTTACTCAGGGACACAGAATTGTTACTCAGGGACACAGAATTGTTACTCAGGGACAGACACAGAATTGTTACTCAGGGACACAGAATTGTTACTGAGGGACACAGAATTGTTACTGAGGGACACAGAATTGTTACTCAGGGACACAGAATTGTTACTCAGGGACACAGAATCGTTACTCAGGGACACAGAATTGTTACTGAGGGACACAGAATCGTTACTCAGGGACACAGAATCGTTACTCAGGGACACAGAATTGTTACTCAGGGACACAGAATTGTTACTGAAGGACACAGAATGTTACTGAAGTGGACACAGAATCGTTACTGAGGGACACAGAATCGTTACTGAGGGACACAGAATCGTTACTCAGGGACAGACACAGAATTGTTACTCAGGGACACAGAATCGTTACTCAGGGACACAGAATCGTTACTGAGGGACACAGAATCGTTACTGAGGGACACAGAATTGTTACTCAGGGACACAGAATTGTTACTCAGGGACAGACACAGAATTGTTACTCAGGGACACAGAATCGTTACTCAGGGACACAGAATCGTTACTCAGGGACACAGAATTGTTACTCAGGGACACAGAATCGTTACTGAGGGACACAGAATCGTTACTGAGGGACACAGAATCGTTACTCAGGGACACAGAATTGTTACTCAGGGACACAGAATCGTTACTGAGGGACACAGAATTGTTACTGAGGGACACAGAATCGTTACTCAGGGACACAGAATCGTTACTGAGGGACACAGAATTGTTACTCAGGGACACAGAATCGTTACTCAGGGACACAGAATTGTTACTCAGGGACACAGAATTGTTACTCAGGGACACAGAATCGTTACTCAGGGACACAGAATCGTTACTCAGGGACACAGAATTGTTACTCAGGGACACAGAATCGTTACTCAGGGACACAGAATCGTTGAATTAAAGAGTATGTCAGACAACACGCAGAGGAGTGGCAGAGGAGGCAATGTTTCAGGAGCGAGCAGACGTGGCAGCAGAGGAAGGGGTCGAGGCAGCACTAGTCGCAGCCAGAGGCCAGTGCTCCCGGTGTCATCCAGCGGTCGTGTCTCCACCAACAACCCTGCCGTCATCGATTGGTTGGCTCGGTCGTCTTCCTCTTCCCAGGTCACCTCTGACACCTACAGCCAACGGTCGGTGGGTACGTCAGACACAACCGTTAGTTGGCATGGCCCGGGAGCAAGCCCACTGAAATCACGTGTCCTCTACCTGCCCCTGTCCTTTGGTGTTCCCTCACCAAGCGAAGTATCGCATGCTGTGGGCTCAGCCCCACTATACAGTGAGGAAGAGCTAACAGAGGGCGGTCAGGAACGGGGGGAGACATCCGCCTCTTCAGCAGCCAGGCGAAGAAGTACTGGCGAGGAGAGTGGCTCGGTAGCCGGTCTAGAGACAGGTCTGTCTCCTGACCCACACGCAGCCGAGGGGGCTAGTAGTGAGGCGGAGACCCTAATTGATGATGATGAGGCTGATCGCACTTGGCAGCCTCGTCGTCATCTGCCAGGCCCGTAATCTGCCATGGGCCCCCGTACCGACTCCTCATGCTGCTGCCAGGCCCGTAATCTGTCATGGGCCCCTGTACCGCCTCCTCATGCTGCTGCCAGGTCCAGAGTGTGTCATGGGTCCCTGTACGGCCTCCCATTGCTGCTGCCAGGCCCGTAATCTGCCATGGGCCCCCGTACCGACTCCTCATGCTGCTGCCAGGCCCGTAATCTGTCATGGGCCCCTGTACCGCCTCCTCATGCTGCTGCCAGGTCCAGAGTGTGTCATGGGTCCCTGTACGGCCTCCCATTGCTGCTGTCTCCATCGCCACACTCTGCCATGTGCCACTTTCAGGTCTCCTCACACTGCTGGTGGGTTCCATTTTGTCATAGGGTGCTGGCAGATTACGGGCCTCCCATTGCTGCTGCCAGGCCCGTAATCTGCCATGGGCCCCTGTACCGCTCCTCATGCTGCTGCCAGGTCCAGAGTGTGTCATGGGTCCCTGTACGGCCTCCCATTGCTGCTGTCTCCATCGCCACACTCTGCCATGTGCCACTTTCAGGTCTCCTCACACTGCTGGTGGGTTCCATTTTGTCATAGGGTGCTGGCAGATTACGGCCTCCCATTGCTGCTGCCAGGCCCGTAATCTGCCATGGGCCCCTGTACCGCCTCCTCATGCTGCTGCCAGGTCCAGAGTGTGTCATGGGTCCCTGTACGGCCTCCCATTGCTGCTGTCTCCATCGCCACACTCTGCCATGTGCCACTTTCAGGTCTCCTCACACTGCTGGTGGGTTCCATTTTGTCATAGGGTGCTGGCAGATTACGGGCCTCCCATTGCTGCTGCCAGGCCCGTAATCTGCCATGGGCCCCCGTACCGACTCCTCATGCTGCTGCCAGGCCCGTAATCTGTCATGGGCCCCTGTACCGCCTCCTCATGCTGCTGCCAGGTCCAGAGTGTGTCATGGGTCCCTGTACGGCCTCCCATTGCTGCTGTCTCCATCGCCACACTCTGCCATGTACCACTTTCAGGTCTCCTCACACTGCTGGTGGGTTCCATTTTTTCATAGGGTGCTGTATGGCCTCCCATTGCTGCTGCCTCCACCGCCACACTGTGGCTCCACACTCTGGTTTTGGCCCCGTGACTGCCCAAATGAGTGAAGTGTGCGGTGATTCTAAGATCGACGGCACTCATCTGCATGTCATACTGACTGACAGTATTATTTCTCTTCCCCAGCAGACTCCAAGGGCATTTAAATTAAAGGTACAGTGTTCTGCACTAATATAAAGGCTCTCTGAAGCCTAGAAACACCCTTTTTATATGTTAAATTCGCAGCGAATATATTCGACTCGAATCGAATTTATTCCGCGAATTCGCCGAATCAGCCGAATCAAATTTTTGAATACTTCGCTCATCTCTAGCCATCAGTTTATACAGCGCTTTACATATACAGTATATTGTACATTCCCATCAGTTTCTGCCCTCAAACAGCTTACAATCTAAGGTTCCTAACTCACATTCCTACACCTACTAGGGCCGATTAATCTACCAGCATGTCTTTGGAGTGTGGGAGGAAACCGGAGTAAAATGCTAACGCTTCTGAACGCTACTAACAAACACTATTTCCAGCATTTTTTTTTCAAAAAAACAGAACAAAACGCTAGTGTGCATGGAGCTTTACCTCTTTGAATTTTGTGACCTGTAGTCACTATGCTGTGTGAGTATCACTGCTGGGTCACACATTTCACAGAGCCTGCCTTCTGAACTACAGAGGTGCTGAGAGGAGGAGTCTCTGGAGGCGGAGTCAGTACAGGAATCACTGCTTGCGGGCAGCAAGGTACCATGGGATATGTAGTCCTTAGAAATTGAAAGTAACTAGCAGAGAGGAAGCTGCAAAGCATGCTGGGAATCCAGGAAGTGGGAGAAAGAGATGGCCAGCAGGCAGGCAGCATGTTCAGCACGAAAGGAGCTTTTTCAAGTAACTGTATATTGTATTGTCAGATATACCTGTTGTGTGTATTGTCATTACCATGCTGATGTTATAAAATGAAAGTGCGTTCCGCAATCATACCGCTCAGCTGCCCGCTGACTCCGCCCATTTCCTTCATTTTAGACTAGTGTCCTGTTGTATGAAAAGCTGGTGAGGTCTGCCCCTGCCTTCCAGTGTCACTCCTGTGTTGTCACCCTGTCTGTAGACTGTGTTGTCACCCTGTCTGCATTGTGTAAAAAAGATGTTTGATCCGGACTTTTCTGATCCCCATGTCATCTCCCTTATAGAACACGGCCTCTGGGACACTCTGCACATGCTCAGTTTGGTGTGTACTGTTAGCTTTTTCTTGGGAGAGTGCATTTTTTCCCTTTTTTTTTCTCTTCAATTTAAATAGGGACATGTGAGTTCCAGTGCATTTTTGGTGCGTTCCAGTGCAGTTCTGTGCAGGAAAAATTTAGTCTGTTCTACTTTTTTTCTGCAACCGGAACACACTGGAACTGCAAGCTCTGATGTGAACTATGACATTGACAACCATATCACCTACTTTCTGTGTGTTTTGGAAGCAGAAAAAAAGCAACTGAAGCGCACGTAGTGTGAACTGGGCCTAAAGGCAAATAGCAAGTCACATGGCGTGGCAAATCGCATGCCAAGTCACACCCGGTGTGACCGGGGTCTTAATGTGTATGGCCAGCTTAAAGTACTAAAAGTGTTACTAAAGCATGCTTGTTATACTCTCCGTGGAACTTAAGGGGTTAATCCTCTGCATTGTGTAAAAGGATGTTTGATCCTGACTTCTCTGATCCTCCCCTTCTTCCACATCCCCATATCATCTCCTGATAGAGCATAGCCTCTATCAAGAGTTTTCTCTTTTTCTAGGTAGAGTGCATGTGATCAGCACGGGTTAATCCTCCATGTTGTGTAAAAAGGCTGTTTGATCCTGTCTTCTCTGATCCTCCCCAATCCATCTGCTGCTAGTATAGAGCTCTAGGAGTCACTTTGCACATGCTCAGTTTGGTGTGTACTGCTAGAGTTTTTTTTTTCTTGGGAGAGTGCATGTGATCAGCACAGGGCCAATCAGCGCTGTACAGACAGAGGGTCAAGGGGTTGCGCAGCCTCATAGGACAATTAGGGGGGAATGAAAACTCCTCATACAAGATTAACCAGTGCTCAGCTGGATACTGATAAAAGCCACAAGACTGCTCTAACTGCTGATGAGAAAAGGTATTTAGCAGTTTACATTTACTAAAATAATTGCATTTCCATGTTCTGTGTACTGTGGGAGACTGGATATAGTGAATGCAGGGTCCTAGGAGACCGGATATAGTGAATGCAGGGTCCAGGGAGACCGGATATAGTGAATGCAGGGTCCGGGGAGACCGGATATAGTGAATGCAGGGTCCGGGGAGACCGGATATAGTGAATGCAGGGTCGGGGAGACCGGATATAGTGAATGCAGGGCCTGGGGAGACCGGATATAGTGAATGCAGGGTCCGGGGAGACCGGATATAGTGAATGCAGGGCCCGGGGAGACCGGATATAGTGAATGCATGGTCCGGGGAGACCAGATATAGTGAATGCAGGGTCCGGGGAGACCAGTTATAGTGAATGCAGGGTCCGGGGAGACCAGATATGGTGAATGCAGGGTCCTGGGAGACCAGATATAGTGAATGCAGGGCCCTGGGAGACCAGATATAGTGAATGCAGGGTCCTGGGAGACCGGATATAGTGAATGCAGGGTCCTGGGAGACCAGATATAGTGAATGCAGGGTCCTGGGAGACCGGATATAGTGAATGCAGGGTCCTGGGAGACCGGATATAGTGAATGCGGGATACTGGGAGACCAGATATAGTGAATGCAGGGTACAGGAAGACCAGATATAGTGAATGCAGGGTCCGTGGAAACCAGATATAGTGAATGCAGGGTCCGGGGAGACCAGATATAGTGAATGCAGGATCCTGGGAGACCAGATATAGTGAGTGCAGGGTCCGGGGAGACCAGATATAGTGAATGCAGGGTGCAGGGAGACCAGATATAGTGAATGCGGGGAGACCAGATATAGTGAATGCAGGGTCCAAGGAGACCAGATATAGTGAATGCAGGGTCCAGGGAGACCAGATATAGTGAATGCAGGGTCCGGGGAGACCAGATATAGTGAATGCAGGGTCCAAGGAGACCAGATATAGTGAATGCAGGGTCCAGGGAGACCAGATATAGTGAATGCAGGATCCAAGGTTTAGTAACACTTTAAATTGCTCTCAGCCTCCTCCAAATCCCTTTTTTTTGCTGCTGTCATCTGCCTTCCTGTTAGATGGTGGCTACGTTCGTTCTCCACGGTCCCACTGTATGTAGCGACATAGCCACCCTTTCTTGTTTACTGCTGAGATGGGAGTATAGACTATGTACTAGTGATGCACCGATATATATTGGCCACCAAAAATTATCAGCCAAAAATAGAGTTATTGGCATTTTGCCAATAGAAAAAAAAAGTTGGCGATAATGGACTTCAATGCAAAATCGCATCCCATTGACTTCAATGCAAAAATGCCTCTATTTAAAGTAGAGCTCCAGTCAAACTCACCTGTCCCACGATCCAGCTCAGAGCAGCCAGTTTCACCTGCTGTCCTCTCTCTCCAGCACCGGCATCTTAAGTGTTGGCACCCGGCTGTGACAGCTTGCAGCTTCACAGCCGGGTGCCCACTGTGCATGTGCAAGTAGCTCTGTGCCTTGTGAATGGTCCGGTAGTCTTCAGGTCCCAGAAAACTATGGGGGGGGGCGACAATTTCCGCTTCCAATCGCCTAGGCAACCTGTGGCTCTCTAGCTGTTGTGGAACTATATTTCCCATGAAGTATTGCAAGGATTACAAAACTGACAGTTACAGCTATGACTTGCAGAGGCATGATGGAACTTGTAGTCCTGCGGCTCTCAGGTTAGCTACCCCTGGCCTAGGCGGTCGCAGCGAAAGTGGGAACGGGTACCTGTCAAGATCAGCTCCCCCCTTCTCCCCAATGATACCAATCCTTAACCCCTTGGCGCCGGCGCCTCCTGACCCTTTAAGGGTTCCAGAAGCTGGGAGGCGGGGCGTGGTTTTAGGGTCATGTGACCGCCATGATTTGCTGTCACGACGGTCACATGATCAGGAGATCGGGACCTTTCCGTGAGTACCGAACGTGTGTGCTGGGAGAGCGCAGGGCTTGCGTTCTCAGAACATATTTTTTTCTATAGAACGCAAATGTGCGGCCGCTCGGTGTCTCGGGAGGCCGCACATTTGCGTTCGGCCGGCGCCAGGAGGTTAACCGTGAGTGAGGGATGAGACCTTTTGGGTAAAGCTCCGCTTTACATTTTTTAATTGTATATATATTTCATTATATTTTCTGTCCAATTTTTGTGTGTTACATTCAATAAATGTCATTTTATGTTACTGGATTGTATGTTTTAAATTCATATTCATTTAAATTCATGGTATTAATAAAAAAAGTTGAACATAATACAATTTTTATATATATATACTGTCCATTTTGGTTTTCAGCCAAGTGCATCCTGATTTTCCAGTTCCGGTCCACCACTATGTACTATGGCAGGGCTTGACAAATTTGCTTTGAATCTAGTAGCCAGCTAAAAAAGTTAGGAGCCAACCTTCAGTACTCTATATTTTTTTACAGGCGATGCTTTAAAAGTCCCCTATAGGTCATCAGTTATGGTGGAGGTGATGCTAGAGATATTGTTCTCATTCCAGCGTGTATGGTGATATGTATCATGTGTATTGCAAGGAATCAGGAACACGATGGGGAACACATGGGCAAGCGAAGCCTCGGATACATAGTGGGGGTGCATGCAGGGGGCACATTACCCTTGTGTGTGGAAGCAATTGAGCGACAGTGGAGCCGCCCAAATGCTTTCACCTGACAGATGAGCTTCTGTTTTCACCTGGTGGTCTGACCAGTAACACACCTCCTGTATTGGAGCACCCCCACGCTGGATGAAGGAGCACAGGGGTCACCTATGGACAGCAGCATTGTCAGTCTGGGGGGATGGGAATGTTAGATGTACTAGCAGATTTAAACACACTAACAAATTTTAGCCAAACTCTAGTTAACACTTCATAAGCAGCTACAAACATTTGTTTTTCCTTTTGGGGTAAAGGTTTTACATAAATAACCACTTGAGTTCCGGAAGATTTTACCCTTTCGTGACCGGGGCATTTTTTGCTAATTTGCACGGTGTTACTTTAACTGGCAATTGCGCGGTCATGCAAAGCTGTACCCAAACAAAATCTATATCAGTTTTTTCACACAAATAGAGCTTTCCTTTGGTGGTATTTGATCACCACTGGGGTTTTTTATTTTTTGCGATATAAACGCTACAAAACATATCCAATAAAAAAATGTAAAATATAGATTGGTTAGCATGAAGGTTATCACGCCTATAAACTATGGTATATATACTGGAATTTTTATTAATTTGCTTGTTTATTTATTTCTTTTTATACTACTAATGCCAGTGATTAATGCCTTTATAATGAGACTGTGATAGTGCGGCGAGCAATCTGACACTAACTGACGCTGGGGAGAACTGATTAACTGCCTTTACCAGTGACATTAATACAGTGATCAGCGATCAGGGGCAGACTGACAACTCATGGGGCCCCCGGGCAATAGAGGATCATGGGGCCCCTGTGTCCTTGCCCAAACTCAAAAAAGCCTATGAAAAAGGTACCAGGGGCATCTCATGGGGCACCCTATTGACCCTGGGCCCTCAGGCAGTGCCCGAGTTTCCAAATGGTCAATCCGCCCCTGTCAGCGATACTATATACTGTCACTGTACTGACACTGGCTGAGAAGGGGTTACCATCTTGGCCAAACGTGTGCCTAACTATGTGTACTATATGTAAAGTGTGCTACTTTTACTAATAGATCCCTTAGTTTCTCAGCACTACTTTGCAGGGCTCAGAAACAGAGAGGTTGGTCTCTCTGTACAGATCTCTGTGTTGATTGTCAACACAGAACTCTGGGCTGTGGTTGTACACAGCCGATCAGCAGGTCCCAGCCATGAATCATTGGCTGGAACTTGCTGACAGGCTCCCGCTTAAACTATGCAAACTGCCCGTCTTCAGTACATTGCAGGCAGGCAGTCTGCAAGTGGCTAAATAAAAGCTGATTATTGTAAGCACCCCAGTCAGTGTTAAATGGTTTGTCTCAACCCTTTAACTGATACATCTGCAGGATAGCTTGTTTTGTTGAAAAACAGACTTACTGGATGGATCGCCAAGTGAAAAACAAAGGTGAGAAAGCCTAAAAGAAAGGAATGCAGCAAAAACATCTAAGAATTGAAAAGCTGCAATATAATAAATGTTTGCATTTGGGTTTAATACGGCTTTCAATCAAAGCGGTCTTCGAGAGTTTTGTATAGATATGACTGCACTGATACAAATGTTATGTTTCTTTTAACGCCTTTTTTTTTTTGAGTATGTCAGTAAACACGGCAGCTTTGTGCGTGTGTCAGGAGCAGGACGAGAGCTGGAAAATTCATGTATATTGCATAAAGTGTCCCAGCGTGTTCTCATTACTGACCTCTAATAATGTATTGTGTAAGACGGATTACATAACGACACACGTCCAGTGCCAGGTGTGCTCGGGGGTTATAAAAACAGAGGGATGGCAAATCTCCCTGAACAATGAAATAGTAATAAGGACTCTGTACATATAATGCAAATCAACCTCACGGCTTTAACTGCAGCTCAGCAGGTCTCCAGCAGGTGGTGACAGACAGCAGCAGACAGAATAACATTGGCTCAGATACAGGGACCTGTTGTGCGCTCCTTCTATTCCTGACCGCATTTCATATTTGGAAACATAAAATCATCCTTCCTCGGGGACTGCTGAAACAAAATCAATACTCATAAACCGTGAGAGAAAGTTAAAAATCAGAGATAAAATTGGATCGCTGGAAAAAGCCACCAATCAGAGTTTTAATTTTAATGCTTCCATAAACAGTGAAACCTGATTGGTTGTTGACAGCAACACTAAAGCGCACCACACGTTTTACTCTGATTGTACAATCTCCTTTAGATCTACCAAACAAGCATGTAGTGCAAATGCCTGCCTGATTGGATACAAATTGGTTGGATAGGGCAGGTAGTTGCTTATACTGCATTGTTTTGGTAAATCTGAAACTTATTGTAGATGGTATGGTCAGAATGTAACGTGTATAGTGGCCCTAAGGGTTATATATATATATATATATTATATATATATATATATATACTGTGCGAATGTCTGAGCAGCATCTGCTCAGCCATCATAAATAATTCTTGTAATTTTTCTGTTTATTTTCTATGATTGTCAGCTCCATCTAGTGGACATAATGCAGTGTTTTCCTGAAAGCCTTAATCAGGAAAATACTGCGTATGAACTACACATTATTATTATTATACAGTATTTATAAAGCGCCAATAGTTCGCTCAGCGCTGTACATTACAAAGGGGGACAGAACATGTGACAGAACAATACCAATACAATGCAAAACATGAGGGGATCGAGGGCCCTGCTCTTTCGAGCTTACAATCTAGGAGACATCAGAAAAAGTATGGGGATTTTTCGTGATGGCTTTCCAATGCTCAGATATTCCCCACATGAATTTCTTATGACTATACCCCAATGTTTTCTTTTATTTTATTCCTTATTTTTAATAAATTAGTTCCATAGAATGTTATTTTTAGACAGAATGATAGATTTATGTCATGAGAGAGAGACACTGTCTGGCTCTGCTCAGACTAAACGGTCTTTTTCTGGTTCTACCCTGACTAACCTGGTGCGGTCTGGTTTTACTACAAGTAAATAGGCACTCTGGTCCATTCCTGACTAACCTAACACTCTCTGGTCCATTCCTTGCTAACGTGGTACTCTCTGCTTTGTTCCTGACAAATCTGGCACTCTCTGGTCCGTTCCTAACTAACCTTGCACTTTCTGGTCCATTACTGACTAACTTCTCACTCTCTGGTCCATTCTTGACTAACCTGGCACTCTCTGGTCTGTTCCTGACTAACTTGGCACTCTCTCTGTTCCATTCTTGACTAACCCAGCACTCTCTGGTTCTCTCCTAACTCACTTGGCACTCTCTGGTTCTCTCCTAATTCACTTGGCACTCTCTGGTTTCTCTCCTAACTCACTTGGCACTCTTTTTCTCTCCTAATTTACCTGACACTCTCTGGTTCTCTCCTAACTCACCTGACACTCTCTGGTTCTCTCCTAACTCACCTGACACTCTCTGGTTCTCTCCTAACTCACCTGACACTCTCTGGTTCTCTCCTAACTCACCGGCACTCTTTGGTTCTCTGCTAACTCACTTGGCACTCTCTAGTTCTCTCCTAACTCACCTGG